GGCTGGAGACTTGGGTTTAGGGTTTAGGGCTTTGGGGCTTGTATCGGCTTAGCACTCATTTTTTATGTTCGGGCCTTGTGGGAAGGTATTTAAGGCGCACGCAATTCCTCTTAACTGACGCATAGTTGCATGTCATCATGAGGCAAAAGGTCATGAGTCGAGATTATGTAAACGATGATTCAGGTTTCTGTGAGGGGTTAAAAAAAGGCTGCGGACGGATGTTGGGGGGTTTTGAGGGTTCTACTAGCGCACATACCATGCACTCCTTACAGGATCCACTACCCAGCGCGTGCTCTCTCAGTCGGTCAAGCCAAGGAATAAACAATACCCTCTGTATTGATGCAGATGCGGCCTCGAATAAGCCTGGGTTCCTGTCAAGGAACTTAAGGCTCGAGTCCAATGAATGGCTACAGTAAAGGCCAGTGAGCTCTCGTTATATGCACGCACCCTCAGCTCCAAACACCCTAAACCCTGACCTCCGGAACTTCGTTCTATAGGTAGCTGAGCCTTAAGACACAGCGGCGCAGGATATGACTCGGTCGAAATCCGCAAAGATGATCGGCCGCCGGACTTGCACTTATCCAGCGCAAAAGTGGAGCGTGGCCGGTTGGAGCTTAGGATGTTGCGGTCCGGGTTTAACCTAGAATGTCCGCGGCTTCCGGCTTAGGGCTCGGGCTCAGGCTTAGCGTCCTGCGCTAGGGTGGAGGTACAGTGTCAATGGGGGAGGATTTATAGGCAGTCTCAAAGATTTGGCCGCTTTTCTTACGCCCTCCATCTGATTTGGACGGTATTCAGGAGTGGTTGAACATGTTCCCTATGTAAAAAGTCCTGAGTCAAGGGCCTTATATTCCCTTTATAATCCCTGTAGATGTCTAGGAATCCCTTTCCATTATCCCAAGTCAACCCAATATTACCCCAATATAACCCCAATATACTAAAATTCCTGTAGATTTTGAGAAATCCCGTGGAGGGGCTCCGTCGGACATGTGGAATATCCAGGCAGTGCGGGGGACTGAAGAAATAGAAATGCAACCCATGACCTTGGGGCTCCATGTCTACAAATAATACCTACATTGGGCCCCAATGCCTATAAGATAGTACCTACATTAGGCTAATTTGGAGGTTTAGGGGAAGACCATAATTACCTTAATCATGTATTGCCCCCCTTTCGTGAGTCTTCCAAAGATTGCACTGGACCACCATTGCCCCCATGTCGCGCAGGCTGTGAGTTTAAAAGTCGTGAGCTCCGTGAACCTACTTAGAGTAGCCAACTTATCTTGAAGAAAAGGCATTGTGCAGAATATGGTCGTTTCCCAAAGTAGAGGTGCCCCACTACAGATCCCAACATACCATAGTCCTTATTATAGGGACCCAGAAAAAGGGACCCCTAAACTTGAGAAACCTCTATATGTGGGCATCTTTTGCCTTTTGCTAGGGTTCCACTGGTTTAAAAAGGCCATGCTCTATCACGGAAGTCAGGAGTTTGTTGGCTCGAAGCCCAAGAAGACAACCCTGATCCCCAAACCCAAAATCTAACCCAGGACCTAGTGTTTAGGGTCTAGAGGGTTTAGGGCTTAGGGTTTACTAGTCTAACGCCCGAATCCCTACATCCTGGTTCAGCCCTAGTCTTCACCGTAAGGCTGTTGCACTGTCATAGCGGGATCACAAACCTGAGCCTCCAACGCCCAAACTTACCAGTTCTTAGCAGGGAAAAAGGGAACAGAATCCCTGTAACATCCTCCCTTTTCCCCTGCCCAACCCTAAACCCTATATGTTCCATCATTCCCTACTAAGAACCAGTAAGCCAACCTCCTCGCCAGAGCCGGTACCAGCCCTAACAGCCTCAATCTAAGGGTCCAAGTACGTAGGGTGAACGGGTAAAGCCTAAGCCGTCAACACCCTCCCCGTTACTGAAACCATCCCACACGCCCCCCAACGTCGGCGGACTAATCCCCATGAAGCTTCAAAGTCTATACACCCTAATTCCGTACCCTTACCGCCAAACTCTAAACCCTAAACTCCCTAAACCCTAATCCCTAAACCCTAAACCTAAACCCCCAAACCCCTAAACCCTAATCCCTAAACCCTAAACCTAAACCCCGCAATCCTTCACATCTCAGGCGAGCTGGTAGTGTCGGCCGGGCTCCTCAAAAGCTCATCGCTGGGCAGGATCGGCAAGGCAGGATGCAGCGTTACACCAAATTACCCTCATGTGGGGTCTACCCTGCCCCAGCTAAGATGGATCCCCCATACCGGCCCGTTAGTTTGGGGAGGGTATGTCGATTTGTTGTAGTACTCATTCTTGGGCCCTTATACAACCTATAAACAGTACATAAATCGGATAATTTCAAGCCACTCATGCTATGCTCACTTCATGTAAATATTAAACACCCCCCCGCCCCAGAACGAATATCACATATTCTCATAAGAGGCTTTATACATTGGGGGGACAGGGTTACGTGTCAGCAGCGGTGGGGGAGGGGGTCCCACCGCTTTGTAAGTATGTATATATCGGCCTAGGGCCCTCAACCGACCTTTGCCAAGATACATTCTAGAATCAGGAAGTAGCAAGGCAAATCACGTAGAGACTGAGTGACGACTTCGTTCACGGCGCTGCCAGGTCGCTGTCAAAGGTATGTCCGGACCCTTGCAGCCGACCCCGCTTGGGGTGGGGAGCTGAGACACGCTTGAAGGTCCATGGCTACTTGGGGGTTTCTCAAAATTAGGGGTACCCTTTTTGGGGGTCCGAGTAATTAAAGGTTACAGCATTTGGGGGTCCATAAGTTGGGGTCCCCCGTTTATGGCAACTAGCAACTGTGACCCCAATCATAACCCTAAGGGTCCAAGTACCTAATTATCAAATACTTACCCCAAACTTATACTATAAATACTGTTCCCCCCCCAAATTCTAAACCCTAAACCCCAAACCCTAAACCCTGAACCCCATATTGGGCACTTGGACCCTTAGGGTGTGTTTTTTAACCCAGGCAGAAGTGAGGACCCTAAGGTGGCTCACATGGACCGCCAAGCCAGATCTTTAAGGTTTGGGGTTTAGGGCTTAGGGGTGAGGGTTTAGGGTTGGTTGGTTGGTTGGTTGGTTGGTTGAGAGACACCGATGTGTCAGCCCTGGGCAAGGGCGGAGCTAAGCAAGGAAACTGCAAGCTGCCCTGGTACCTGGGAAGACCATAGCAGACTGCCGCAGCAGAGCTAAATGCCTCCAGATATCACTTGCCCTTGCAAACCCTCGCACACTGTTTATGACTCAGCCGGCTGCCCATGTACGTGCCAGAATGTGCGCGCCTGCTTGCAGATGCAGTGGGCCAAAGCCACAACGGCACCAAACAGGGGGATCGTCGGTTTAGCCTTAAGCCAGGCCTCCGAAAAGATCCAGGTTCTCATCTAGGATACCCTATACCCAGACGGTCCCAGAATCCAATATTTGGGTACTTGGGCTGTTGGCAATAGTAGTTGTAGTACATGTCCTTGGTAAGTATGATTTTTAGATACTTGGACCCTTAGGGATGCACTTCGGCCTCAAAATGATGCTCTACGATCATATCTTACGTGTGCCTGTTTTAGGGGCTTTGGGTTTAGGGTTTAGGGGGTGGGGGAGCACACTACTTAGATGGAAGTTTATTCCATGTCAAATAGCCTCGCGGCTCAGGGTTTAGGGTTTAGGCTTCTTTGTGGATTCAATAGTATCATCCTCTATCAAGCAACGCGAGGAGTCCAAGTACCCAATAGTCGTAAACGTATCTGCAAATACTGTGGTTACTAGTACCAGAACCCTAAGTACCCAATAATTGGGTACATGGACCCTGCCCCCTAAGCCCTTTGTAGCCACATATATCCCTATAAATCCTTATGTTCCCCCATACACCCCTTCAAAAGTGGACCTACGCGGATTCATAGGGCAAGGGAAGGTTTAGGCAAGCTCAGACGCGGTCCTCTATTTTCCGCCAGAGTGCAAATACCCAACAATTAGGTACTGTGGATATGGGTTATAGTACTTGTAGTACATTTTTAAGGATTTGGTACTTGGAATCTTAGGATCTTAAAGTATACAACATGAGTTTTCGTCAGCCAGCGTTACAAGCAGGATGAGACTTGCCATAACCAATCTCCGACTGCCAGGGGCTGGTGGGGTGCCCCTAAACCCCAAACCTTAAGTCCTAAACCGCGTCGGCTTGCGTCCTAGACCCTACTTGCTGACCGGTCTTGCTCCTTTTTATGGTCCTGTGCTTCTCCTAGTCTCCGCTGGCTTCAGCATCATCAACCTCAAGACCTTAATGCCTCAAACAAGTAGAGTTAATGGGTAAGCGAAGAAAGACAAAATAAAAAAACAAAGTGGAAACTTCTACCTAGACCCTCCACGAACCCTATGTTAGGCCCGAGTCCCCACCATAAGGGCCCAAATATTGGAAAATGTGACTTCATGTTCGGCTGCGCTGGCGGCCCTCTTCGGCTCTTTCTCAACTGCACATGAAAGCCTCGTGCCCATAGTGTTTAGGTCTAAGGGCCCAGGGTTTAGGACTTAAGTATGAAGGCGTAGGGTTCAGGGTTTAGGGTTTATAGAGTTTAGGGCTTAGGGTTCAGGGTTTAGAGACGTTAGGGTGTAGGGATTCTACTCACCTGAAATCTTCCTGGATTACGTCAATCTGCAGCGGCGGCACAAGCCGGGGCTTACTTGAAACATTGCAGGTTGTTGACAGCACTGCTTTGAGCCCTCGTGTGCCCCCTAAACGCGGTTGAGGGTTGAAGGGCTTAGGAATTAGGGTCTATGGCTGGAAGATAAAAGAAAAACCTTCGGGGGCCTGCCGAGGTACACACCTGGGCCATGCCCAGCAGTTTTTTTAAGCATGTTTCGTCCTCCTCAGAATGTTATCATAGCTTCCCTCTTGTGGTGAACTTCCCGTCCGGCAATGCAAGAAAACATATGCCTTCACAAGGACTAGCGTTGGAATGAGGCTGTTTGCAACTTGCAAAATCAAGCCTGCAAGTAGGTGAGCCGAACATGGAAGTTTCCAAAAAAGCGGTGGTCCGTGTTCAACGTGTCCTGCAGAAGCGAGTCGCCCAGATTGACTGGACTGTCTTTTCGGCACATAAATGTCAGTGGAGATTTGTCACTCACCACTTAGACCCCCCCGAACTCCTGGGCTTTTAGCAGTAAATCCTGAGATTCAAAACTTCAGGACTAAAGCCATCCTCTTAACCCTGAACCCTATAAACCCCTGGAATTCAAATCTTCTGAACAGAAAACATCCTCTTAATCCAGGAACCTATACACGCTCATGGACTGAAACATCCTGACAGCCAAGGGGCCCAAGTAGTCTTTCGGGCGGAAGCCTGCCAGATAGCCAGGGCCTCAAGTCATGGGCCACGCAGTTAGGGCTTAGAGTTTAGGGTTCAAGGTTCTAAGTCTGAAGTTGGAACTGTGGGATGTGGGAAATCCCTGAGGGTTGAAGCAGTCTTCACCAAGCTCAGAACACATGTCGTAGCAGCATCTTTCAGTTAAGATTTGGGAGGTTGATGCAAGTTTCTTAGGGAAAATTCTCAAGAATCGAAAGATGAAACCCTGCAACCCCTTGTCTTCCACATATCATTAAGGTCCCTGAGGGCTAAATATCTTGGGAAACTGTGATATGACTTTTGGAGATGAACAAGCTCCTTCGCAAGACCACACGAATAAGTTGTGGCCCGCACGTCATTCGTCAAAGACTATGCCGACGCTACTTAAGCTACAGTAAACTTATTCCTTCAGCTTTTGTGACTCCCTGATGTTGTGGTTACTTCGGCTTCAAGCCGAGCCGCCAATGCTCAAGGCAACCCTAAACCCTAGACCCGGGACCCACCCAGAGAAGCGCATACAATCGAATGCTTAGGTAGCTGTATAGATTGCTAAGACCCAAATCTACATGTCCCCAAAATAACGATACGAAAGATTCCTCATCCGTGGCACTCCCACGAAGTAAGGGCAAGGCTAGTCGAAAAGACACACAGGCAGGCCCTCAAGAGCTCACTTACAGGTGTATTGTAAATCCCTAGGGGTCCAAGTACCCAATAATCATATACTTACCCAAAACCTATAGCATAACTACTATTTCCCAAAGCCCAAGTACCCAAGTATTAGGTACATGGACTCTTAAGGAGCTGTTCTATCTTCAGCAGCTCCGAGACCAAGCAGTCGACAGCTATTTTTTGGGGCAGGGGTTCCAGGGCAGACTCAGTCAAACGGTTCAGGGTCATCCGCCGCATGTGGTAAATTCCCAAAATAGGGAGACCCCAATATAGACCCCAAAATATTATAATCCTTATTATGGGGATCCCCAAAAAGGCACCCCTAATTTTAGGAAACCACCATGTCATGGTATATGCAGACTTTGGCAAAGTAAAGTCGGATACCGAATACCTAGCCGCCTCAACAAACCCTAAGGGTCCATGTACCTAATAATTGGGTACTTGGGATTTGGGTAGTAGTAATTGTAGTACAGGTTTGGTAAGTATAGGACTATTAGGTACTTGGACCCTTGGGGAAAGTGCAGCAGCATGATCTTTTCTATCGTTCGTTTCTATCGTATTGCGGCATGAGTTATGATTTCGGTGCTTCTCATTGCTAGTGTGAGTGAAGCCTGCGAGATCTCGGAAGGACTGAGCCGGGACATGTTTGTGGTTAAGGGTTTAGGGTTGGGCAGGGCCTGCAGGTAGGGGCATAAGGTCCTTAGCACAGTGTCGTTTATTTGTGACCAGAATTTCTTGACCTGCTAAATATTAGGTTCTAAGCCATGAACTCTCAACCTCTCAAGCTTTCCAGGCCCTAAATCGGTTTAGGGTTTAAGGCTTGCTCAGCCTTCTAAACCCTTCAACCCGAAACCTTCAAAGCCCGTATAGGTAAATGGAGAAACAGGTATTTTTGGTGCTGGTTTCAAGTACTTCGGCATGAGAATACGGATGTCCGTGCAGCCTGACAGCATTTGAGGCGGGAGCTTCTGTTTACAAATCTAGTCGCCTGGGCTATGGAAAGCTTTGGTACCACTTGGTCCCATATATCGAAGATTTGAAGGTGAGCGCCGGGCCCCCCCCGCCCCCACCTGACACCTAAAGAACAAGAAAAAAGAACAAGACATCTCCGATTGTGGTTGGGTTGGCGGCGCCCCCAACCTAAAGGACCCCCCCCACCTGTGAACACCTTTGTGACTGCCGATTGAGCCAGGTTTTCGGGCATGATTTTGCAGGCTTGCGTTGCAAGATTGGCATAGCAGTCTCAGAGTGGCATTCTGGCAGGCATAGTGGACAGCAGTCGTAAATCCGCACGCCGACTTCTCCTGGCAAGCACAGCAGACAGTGATGCTTGGAGACCGACACGCCGGTTTTGGAAAACCGGAGCAAAACTGGGAATGTTTTGGCAAGTTTTCATGCACTCGGCAGTTCGCTCGGAGGAAGCAGCTGTTATTGTTGGCACACTTTCGTGTTGTCGACTGATTGCTCGGAGGAAGCAGCTGTAGAGTCGCAGACTTCGAGTTGAGGGGAGAAGGCCAGCGACTCTACTGCTGCGTCTTCTTGCTCGAGGTCTTACTCCGGTTCTGAAGATCAACGTGTAGGTCTAGCGCTTGTAGTAGCAATATGTCCGTAGTGCTTGCCAGAAGAAACCAACGTGTAGGTTTACCCTTGCTGTCCCCTATGCCTACTCTGAGACTGCTTGACCATCTGCGTGCCAATCTTTCAATGCAAGCTTGCAACATCATGACAGAAAGGCATGCAAAGGCATTCATCTGAACCTGGCTCATTCAAAGAAGAACCATAAATGGGGTGATCTACAGGTGGGGCGGGTAGATCACAGCAGGCAAGCCGGACAGTGTTTTTCACACATGCTGATCGAGTGTTGCCCAAGTGGTTGTGCCTGCGCAGCGACCGTGCAAGACACAAAAAGGGGATTATGCAGAGGCTATATAAGTTGAACAGAGAGTGGGATTGTCTGGCGGTTTATGACCGCCAGGGTGCTTTACCTCTGACTAGCAGTGACTGAAGGCATGGAAGCCAGCAATTATTTTGCTAGGTCCTGTAGGGGGACACTCGGAGTTTTCCGGGCAGGTTCCCCCCAAGATTGAGGAACTAAACACGGTTTACCTAGAGTAACCTATCTACCTGATCACATGGGCTTTGTACCTAATATTATGGAATCTCTACCTTTGTTAAAGGGTTTGCGTTGGTAGGCTTTAGGGCTCTTTGTTGGGGCCGCAAACTAGGTCAGTCAGGGAGTGCTGTTTCAGCTTCAGACTGGCGGCTATAAGGGTTTAGGGTTCAGGGTATGAAGCTTCTTCTCTTGGTTGAAGCCTCAAACAATCATCCCCGAATCGGTATCGTATCTTCGCTTTGGGGAAGTCTTGCTTCTATCGACTTACATTGGATTATATCCCAGAGGAACAAAAGTCTTCTCTCGAAGCACGAAAGTCTCATCCAATATTTGCATGCAACTTCCCTAACCTGTGTCAACACCAAACAAGGTATGGCTTCTCACTTGCATGGGCGGCCATACCGTGAGAGTCCAGGAGCATCGCTCACTTACTTAACCATTGCATGGCGTCTTTCTGTATTCCAGCTGACAAAGTTGGGGCCGAGAAGGGCTAGTTGAAATGTATTGCTTTGTATACACAATTCTATGACATCAGAAGCCCAAGTAAGACATCCGGCCTTTGATACCTCTAGCTTTGTTGATGATGTGTGATAGTCTGGTGCCATTATGGTCAGCACGCTCAGCAGCCTCACGTGTTTCACTTTTGCACCGCCAATTCCTTTTCAGAACGCACCACTTGAAGTGGCATGCCTCCCTGACAGATTCACCCGGGTAGTTTGCGAAGGTAGAGCCTCCATACAAGCAGCAGCCCTTCACATGACGAGGACGCAACAGTCCACATAAGAGTCCAAGCTTTATCACGGCCTGCAACAAATAGATAATGTGTTGCGCCTAGCAGGTCTAGGTACCTGCACAGTATATGCTGAGCAATGCCATGTAGATAAATGGACTACCAACTTGAAAAAGTCAAAGCACCAAGCAAGTCCAAGCTCCAATGATTCGCCAACTACCCACATCTATGGCCACGGGGTCACGATCGTGCAAGACTTCGTCGTGCATCTTCGCAAAAAGAGCTTTGGGGTGCTAGGCTTCAGATGGGTGGTTGTCAAAATTATGGTCCCTTTTTGGATCCCTATTATAGTACAGCACCTAATGTTTAGGGTACCCAAAAAGGGACCATAATTTTGACAGCCACCCAGATCTTCGTGGCTTTTGAGAAAGTGCTATTCGGTAGAGATCTCAGCACTAGCAAAGGATGGCATTTTTGAGGTCCTGGGTTAGGTAGCCTAAGGGTCCAAGTGCCACAAGATCATACGCTTACCCAACAGATGTTCTACATCCATTGCTACCCAGACCCCGAGTTACTAGTCATTGAGTACTTGGACCGTCGGAATTCGGGCTTTTTGCCAACTGTGTTGAGGCGCAATCTGCCGCATGGACATAAGGTAGAATCCAGAAGTACTTTGCAAAGTTATGGTATAGGGTACCTGAAGTGTATATCACATGAGCAGAGATCAAAACCCGCTTTATTTAGAAAAGTGTTGTGTTTCGTACGGCGTCGTAAGCAATTCTGTGGCAACTTTATTGCTGTAAGCGTCGTAAGCTGTTGTTTTCGTCGGTGTTGTTAGTCCTTGCAGTTGCAGTAGTTTCAGCAGCAGCAAGCTGGCGTATGCGGCCTAAGCAGAAACAACAACAAAGTCATGTCGTAAGCAAAAGCTTGGAAAACGTAAGCTACCGTAAGCAGTTTCCGAAATGAAATAGGAGTAGGATTTTGGGCACCGCTCACATTAGCTATCACAAAACATGGGTCCTCAAAGTACCATATGAGAACAGGTGCCCAACCTAAAGAACCCTAAGTTCAACAACTTGGTAAACTTTGCGAACTTTCATGCACATGCGCAGCCCTAGTTCAATGTACCTGCTGGTGGAGCATAGGAAAGCAGTAGGACAATACCTTTGCTGCCATTTGTGTCACCTGCAGCCTATTTATGCCATCTGCAGGCCTGTTGGCAGTCCAGCCATCCAAGGATCAGATCTTGGCTGTGTTTTTGTTGCAAATATTTTCTTTTTTTGGAGCAGTATAAGAAGACATGTTTAATAGTATCCCAATGTTAAGGAACTAGTGAAAGTCTGGCAGGTTACTGTAAGCCCTCGTCGTTAGGTCCCAGTACCCAGTAATTTCGCACTTAGGGCAGTTTAAAGTTGTCACTGTGTGATACTATTCTAGGGAAGCATAAGCTTATCAGGTTCTTCAAGTAC